CCGAATCCTAAAGATCACTACGTGTTGGCAGCTTGGAACCAATATATCAGAGGCCCTCCCCCAGCGCTGGAAGCAGCCTGACTTCTGGAGTGTGGGAATCCTGAAGCCCTCGGATGCACAGGACAGCTCCCTGCACCCACTTCTCAGTCATGGTTAGAAACGAGCTCATTGTTGTTTATTTAAATCTGAAGTAGGATTTCTGGACACAAGAACCTATTGAATTCTTCTTGCTTAAAATAACGTGCCATTTTTGCCTTCTAGTTAGTGCTTATAATTTCCAGAAATAGAAGGAGAACCTTCTAAAGGCCCAAGTGAGTAAATTCACTTATTTCACTGAGCAAACAAACCCATGTGTCTTGAGGGTCCCTCTTGTTTCCAAGTACCGGGAGCACAAAAACGGTTAAGACCCTGTAGCTATCCTTGAGAATACTGAGGAAGATTGACATACAAGAACTGCTGCATGCTGTAGTGAATGTCACAGTTGGGTATGAACAAGGTGTCTGAACAAGCTAATGTCATGGTTAATTCTACGTGTGACAGGGCTCAAGGGTCAGGAAAGATGTCATGGAAGGTAATTGATTTTAAGCTTGAACAAGGGACAGACATTTGCTCTGTGGCTAGTAAGATTTGCCAAGTCATATGGACTTGAATTTGCATAGCAAATGTAAGAGACGTGTAAATGGCTGATATGACTGGCTGGAGATAAAAGTAATAAGACTGAGTGATGGGGGGAAGCGATAAGGACAGGAAAAAAAGGTGTCCAGGATGGACTCTAAGGAGTTTAGCCTGGGTATACCCCATGTCCCACTGGAATCATGACAGCCTTTTAACATTTGGTCAAACTGAACCAAGGTGCTTCCTTGGAGGCGAGTCAGGGAGCCTGACCGGAAGCAATCGCAGGACCGTGGTGGTGTGGAGTACAGCCGGGGCTGCCTGTGTAGGGGCTGCAGGAGACTTATTGGGGGAGGGAATTTTTGAGCTGGGCCTTAAAGAAAGACTCATGAGGCAGAGAAGAGTAGAAGATAGTGGGGAGAAATGAAGGTGGGAATGACATGGTGTCCAGTGGAGGAAAAACCCACATGATGGCACAGAGGTACAAAGATCCTTGGTAGGCTCTGGGAAACAGTAAAGGTGGTTGGAGCAAAAATGTGTGATGGTGGTGGTCAGTGTATGTGTGCATATGTGTATGCGTGCATGTGTGTGAGTGTGCACATGCATGTGTGTGCGCATTTGTGTGTGTGTGTGGTATGTGTCAGAGAAAGAAGCAAAGCAGACAGTGGCCCTTTGAAGGTAGGCTCAGTCAGTTTAACACCAATAGTAGGAATTTAAACTATGCCCTAGAAGGTGGGGAGAAGATGGAGGCTTGAAGCATGGGAATCACATCATCAGATTTGTACTTAAGAGTCATCACTCTGCTTCAAAACCATAAGTGCTGTAATTTTGGTAGACTCAAAAAAGGAAGATTGCGAAGAAGCAGTCGAGCCAAAGAAAGTAAGAAATGCCAGTCATCTGCTATGCCTGTCTTCCTTCCATCTTGGAGGGCTTTAGATTGGGATTTTCTGTGTGGTGCTGTCAATAGGGTAGGAGGTTTGGCTGCCCCAGCTCCAGCCAGCTGGGATAGAGTTAGGGCTTTGTGGCCAACGGAAAGGATGGTGGAACCTGCCTCGCAGACTAAATTGCTTGTGTCACCCCAGTTGATGAATGTCTGGGACATTGGGAATAGCAATCCCATCAAGATACCTTTATCGGATTTCACTCTTCATTGACTCAAGAAGTGAAATATCTTACAGTCAGAAAGTTTAGTCCCTTGCCTCGACTGGGTTGGTTATTTTTTATGGTTTGCACTGAATTGAGGAGATTGAACTATACACATAATAACCGGGAAGTTCTGCTCTTTGAACTCATATATACTCGTACATAACTTGACATAACTTGGCCTCTGGACAGAGACCACAGGTGTGGATACTGTCTCCACTAGGGTCCTACTGATGTCAGGAACACCTGGGTTTGCCCCAGTATAATAGGTATGCTTGTTTTATTAGAATTAGGAAAATTCTGATGGCTTGGCCTTTGTACTTCTAGTCCCCAAGGCATCCTAGGAGGGGTCAAATGTAATTCCTCCTGGGTATAATTTATGACCACCTGATATTGACATTGGACATGGGAGCTTGAGCCTTTGTAGGTGTAGAGCCAGGGATAATGTTTCAGAGGGCCTTTGCTTATAAAACTGAGCCCTGATTATGAAAATACAAATACCAAAGCAGGGAACTAAAATGGCCCCACAGCAGCACATAGTCATGTCAATCTGATAAATCTATATGAAGTAACTTCGCCATATTTCTGTGTGACACTGGGCAAGTCACTCCTCATCTGTGTCTCTGATGCTTCATTTATAGATTCAAGTTGTTGGACTAAATTCATATTAAGGTATTTTCTGGCTATGACAGTCTGTGATTCTGTGATTAACCCTTCAGGAACCATTGCAGTGGTCAGCACACAGGGACTCACCCAACAGAGATATACTGAGCATCCGTGATGCACCAGGCCTGCTAGCACACACGGGCCAACCTCGCCTCTTTGTCTCCCCGTAAGGAACTTCATCCAATGGTGAAGTTCAGGTCCAGAGACAGGGATGACCTGTCAATTACTGGTGGTTAATAGCTGATTCCATCTTGTCTCCAAGCTGTTGGCTCTGTCCATATCTCCCTCCTCTGCCTTTAGCTAAGCTCCTTCAGGCTTATTTCCTCTGGGGCATCGTTGCACATGGTTCTGTCTGCTTCGGCAAAGCTGCCTGCCCTTTGGACTTTATAGTCCCTTTCTGGGAACTCAGAACAAGAATTGCTTCAGCTGTGGGCATGCACGCTAGGGACCGACCCATGAGAGGGGCTGCTAGACACAACTTCTGCCTGTATTTTCTGATTCATTATCAGTATCAGACAATCTGCTGCGAGAATGATGATAAATGTGTGGTGTTCTGCTGAAGGAATCATGTACTCTAAGATTAACCCCATTCTGACAGCCTGCTCGTCTACTGCATGGAGTCCCATCACCCACCATTCTTTTTTTCAGTAGTCCAGAACAAACTTTGCAAGTGTAAAGGGTGCTTGGCAAAGGATAATAGGAGACCTCCTAGCCACATGATTTAGAAATGCAAATAATAGATGTTTTTATTCCAGACAGAGAGGCAAGGACAAGGTGGGTAGCTGCTATGGAAACAGGGAGGCGTTGGAGAGAGGACCCCCAGTGACAAACATGTAGGTGGCCCAAAAGAATTTTCAAGCTAGTACTCTAGATGGGACTGAAATGGACTGAAGAAGAGAGATGCATCCCTGGACACGCGGCAGTGCGTGAATGTCATTGCAGGGGTAGCCACCATCGTCTTCATGACTTCTCACAAGACTCTTCCCCCATTTGGACCTCAGTTTCCCCCACTGGTAAAATGAGTAAGCTGGGTCAGGAGATCTCAGGGGGGCTCAGCCCTGTGACCCGTCCATCCTGGGATCCCCAGTGGCCCCAAGGGGTGTGCTGTGGGTACAGGGTCTTCCTCCTGGATGTCAGCTTCAAACATAATTCCCCAAACAGACCTTCCTCCTCTGCCTGCCACCCCCCAAATCACTAGGGCGGGTTTGAGGCGCGATAAGAACCAAGTTGGTAGGTGCTCTTCCTCAGTCACTTTTCTTCATTTGGAAGAGGGTAGGCTACCTGAGACACCAAAGCATAATTCCTGAGGAGACAGATAATCATTCCACACCTGGTAGAAAAGATTTCCTTCTTGTGGCCCCATGAGTTCTTCCGGGGAATTAAATGCCCACAAACCTAAGGCCTTCAAATTAATTCAAATTTCTATGGCAGTGGTAATGCCATCCTATATGCCCCCATCTATTGAGGCAAATAATAATTACTACACCTACCATTTCGATTGCTTCCTGTTTTCCAGGCATTATGCTGAGTACTTTACCCACCTCAGCTCACGTAATCCTCACACCATCCACTTGAAGTAGATTCTCTTTCCTTCATTTTACAGACACGGAAACTGAAACTTACAGGGTTAGCAATCCTGCCAAGATGACACAGTGGGTCCGTGGCAGAGCTGAGATTCGAACTTGTGTTTTCCAACTCCAGTAACCGCCACGCAGTGCTGCCCATGCAAACACCCCATAGGCACATTGATCGCCTGACTGATGGGCAGTCCAGAGACACTTGTCCTCTATGGGGAATGCAGCCCCACGGCCGTGAGAGTCACTCCCAGTGGTTTGCTGAGAGAGCAGCTTCGACTACGAGAGAAAGGGTGGCAGCAACTGCAGGTCTTCCTGTTAGTGGTTTGTGATATGGGGATGGGGTTCCTTCCATGGACATAAGCCATCCTAATAGCACCATTTATCATTGTGACAAAGGTTAGGATGGGGAGGAACTGGAGCTGGAATGAAAGAGTAGAATTCTGATTATTTTAGCAGTTGAAAGTGGCATCACCTCAGAGCTTCTATCAGATGGCAAATTGGAAGCTGGACTGAAATTGCTTTAAAATGTATCCAGAGATCCTTTTCCACAGCTGTGATAAAGTCATTTGGTTGTGTTTGGAGATGTGTTTCTATCCAAGATGAGTCGTCTGTGTGTCATCCCCTTCGGAAGGCTCCTGGTCAGCCCCGGGGAGTTTGAGGCCATGGGTGCTGTTTCTGGGCACCTGGGGTACGCCCCACGCTGCACGGGGGCCGGGCAAGCAGGTGGAGCCACACTCCCTTGTTGTGTTTTTAATGCATTGTGGATTTCTTTCCACTCAGTAAGGGGTGTTTTACATTTGTAATGGCCACGTGGTTTTCCTCGGCGCCTCTGCTGGGCTGAGCCTAGGCCTTGGAACAGCCTCCTGCCCCGATCAGGGAGTCGGAAAGAGTGGGAGTGCTGGCTGTTTGACCAGCCCTTTGGTGTATTGGGCCTTTGTCCAGGTAACCTGGAGGAGAGGCCCATGGGGATGGAAGCTTTATCTCCTCTTTTTTCATCCTCAGGCAAAAGAAGGGGAACGTGGCCCACAAACCCTGGGTTGGACCTTCGAATCTGGTCAAGTGCAAGCCCTGTCCCATGGCACACTCAGCCATGGTCTGCGGCTCCGATGGCCACACCTATACATCCAAGGTCAGTCACCTTTGTCTTTCCTGTCATCAAAAATTAATGTCTGCGTGTTCTGACATGTCTCGCTGCCCACACTGGCACAGTTGTGTGACTCTCAGTGGGCTCTGGGCCTTGCCCTCGAAGCTGTCACATGAACAGACTTTCCCACCAAAGAGACAAGTGAGATAAAAAGGTTGCCTCCTGTGTCCTGGCGTGGTCAAGGGCTGTGGGGAGAGGGTGATTCTGAGAGTGGCGTGTGCTCCTGAAGTTAATCTCGGGGAGCTTCCTGGAGAAGGTGAGGTAGCAAGCGGTTCCCAAGATGTGAGTCATATAGCTCGGCTGACGGGGAGCAAACACGTGAGGGAGGCCCAGGAAGCTGCCCTACGGTGGTGTGGCCGGTGAAAGAAGGGATGGGGTGTCAGCACGTGTCCCAGCTGCATTTGTCGTGCATGTGGAACCCATCCAGCACTGTACCTGGCCCCGGGGCTACCGGCACCACTGTTCCTTTCTTAGGGGAGGGGCTTACAGCCCAATGTGGCGACAGGTCATTTTTACTCAAACCTATGAAAAGAAAGTGACTTCATAGAAAAGGAGACTAGGGATCAGGTGGGTCCGTTTATACCTGTTGGAAGGACTGGGACGTTTCAGGGAGGAGGGCGTGTCCTCCGGGCTGTAGTGATAGGATTCACAGGCTGGGAGGCCAGGGTCATCAGGGTGAAGGAAGGAGGTGATAATTTGTTCTTGGATCCTCAAACATTCCCCTCAGGGTAAGGCTCCCCGTGTGGGCGTGGGAATGGGTGCATCTCCCTGGGATAATGACCTAAAGAAAGGGAAACCACAGAAGTGACATGAGTTTTGCTTATTCATTCTCGGATCCAACAACTCTACATCAGCCCCCGCTTGGTGCCTGACACTGGCTGGGTGGGAAGGCGTCAGCGTGTGGGTGTCTCCAGTTTTCTGTAAGACAGAGGTGGGGCCGAGAAGCGGGGCTGTGACCCTCTGGCCTCCTCCAGCCCCAGTCTCACCACTTTCATCTCAGCTCCCGATTTCCCATGAAGTAAGGGTCACTTGCAGGGTGGAGTTGGGGGCTCAAGAGAGTTGCTATAGGAGACACCCCGGGTCACTTCTGGCCATACTGCCATGTGGTTCTCAGGCTCAGGGACTCAGGCGGTTCTGTTGGGTCCCCTCTCTGTCCCTGCCCCGCTGCACACAGCTGACAGCTTCATTCTCTGATCCCGTCACCATCCTGCCCCTTACGCCTGGGAGAGTCCACAGGCCGGGGAGCAGTGTCCCTGCCTGCTGCCCTCAGAGGCTTATTCGGGTTATTTCGAGGTTGGGCCGTGCTTTCCTACTCATTCTATGTTGCATGAGTCAAGTATTTTCATTCCCTGAAAGTAGAGTTTTATCCTCTCAGATGTTCACATTTTCCTAACCAAAGGTAATATAGTTAACAAAACAGGCAGCCAGGAAGTATGTCTAGCTTGTATCCAGACCCATGTGATCTGCTTTAGGACCTCAATATCATAATTCCTGCTGGATTAGTCTCTTTGTTCTTTAACAAGCATCATTTGAGCTCTCCTTATACCCCAGGCTCTGGGCCAGGTGCTGGGGAAACTTACAGTGGAAGCAAAAAAAGTTAGCTCTTCATGGACAGTTAGTAATCCTTGCCTCCCAGCCTGCCTCGTGAATTATAGCTTTGCTGCCTAATGTCATGGCCAGTAGTACATCCTGGCTAAGTAGCTCTGGCCCAACTCTGCTCAGCACCCCAGTCCCCTTCCCCTTTCCCCTGCTCTCCCTGACCCCTGATGGAATCACGGTTTGAGGAAGTTTGCAGTAACGGGGCTCACTTCCGACCACCTGAACACGTCTGGAGTAGTGGATTTGTAGGGGGCATGGATGAATCAGTTCTGTCCCCCACTCCCAGAGGCAGCTCAGGCCATCCTTGTCATTCACTTAAAGCCCAGTTCCTAGGAGCACACAGTCGCCTGGAGATGCTAATAAAATGCAGATATTACAATGCAACAGGCCTGGCATAGGGCCTGAGAGTCTGCGTTTGTAACGGGTTTCAGGTATGCCCATGCTGCTAGTCCAGACGCTACTTTGATTAGTGAGGACTTCAGTTTTCATAGGTGCCTCCTAATAGATCTCTAGCTCCAGTCTTCCTTATTCCCTGCCCCGAGCCCATTTCCACATGACAGAAGGTGGCAGAATTCTGTAATAAAAGCCTGTTTGTTCATCTCTCCCACTTAAAAATGCTTGGGTAGCTTTCCTCTTGCCGCTAGAACTAAGCTCAGACCTGTTCTTGTGACTAACAAAGCCCTCCAGAGTCTGTTGTCTTTCTGCCCAACACTCACTCATCACAGAAAAACCCTGCATTCGTTTGCTCAGCACCTGCGTGGTGAGCACTTCTGGTTGCTCTGTGGTGAACACGGCAGGGCCAGTGGGGAATGAGACAGACGCCACTGGAGGTTACAGTTTGGTAGGGGAGGCACAAATGAGTAAGTCACCAAACAAGTAAGGCTGTGGTTTCCAATTTTGGTAAGTGCTGAAAAGGCAAGGAGCATGGCGCTGAGAGCAAGAGTGAGAGAGGCCTGCTTTATAGCGAATGGCGAGGGAGGCCTCTCTGAGAAGGTGTTCTTAAAGCTGAGTGGGAGGGGAGAATGTTCCAGACAGAGAAAATAGCAGGGGCCAAGGCTCCCTGGTGGGATGTTGTGTTTGAAGAACCGAGAGGATGCCCGTGTGGCTCTAGTGGTGACAGGAGAGGCACATAAGATGGGGGGGGGGCAGGCAGGATGTCGAGAATGGGACAGATACTTAGGAGGTGACACACATACCTAGCCAGAGCTAGAAGGTGAGCAGATAGTTGGGCAATGCCAGGCTTGTGGGACACTTATTATTTTAAGTGCCTTCTTTCTGCCTAAGAGCTTGAGATCCTAGAGGCAGACACAATGCCAGTTACCACCTTAACCAGGCACAGGGCACCGCACATAGTGGGTGCTTCACCAGGCAGAGGACAACGCACAGTGGGTGCTCAATAAGATGAAAGACAAGGGAGGGCCACCAGGGACTCTAGCTGAGAAGGAGTGGCGAGATTCTCGTCTGTGTCACCCTTTAGGATTTGACTGAATGGGTTGGAGAGAGCTTAGTGATTGAGAGAAATCACCCATCCTGGGCTCAGTTGCTTAGTTAAACACCCAGCCTGGGGCTCTGTAGAGAGTTAGAGGCTCCTTGCAATGACTCCCTCTTGGTGAAAAGCCAGTTTGTGCTGCTGAAATGATTCCCTCCAGCTCGGGAGTAAACTGTCTGATCCTGTCTGAGCCTGAGATTTGAGACAAGCCATGAAATGTCAGTGAGTGATGACGGCTGTTTTGGGCGAGTGGCATGTCGCACACCAAACCCCAGCAAAAGAAACGGCCCACTCACCTCTGTCTTTCATTCGCAGAAGGAGCTGAACATGCCAGTTCCCCATGAGCCCCACGCTGCAAGAAGCAGTGGTCTCCTGTCAGACGTGACTTGAAATGCTGTCAGTGGCCCAGGGAGTGTCTCTGGAAAGGCTCGCTGATCAAGCCCCCCCCCACCCCCCACCCCAACTGCAGTCAGGGCAGGAAAGTCGGTTCTTTGTGTTCCAGAAGGTTGCCTATTACAGATACTGGTAAACGGCTTGTTTAAGAGGCGGGGTCAGGATTTGGAAGAGTCCTTTGCAGTGATGCCTGAATCTTCCAAAGAGGACTGATGTCCTGGGCAGAGTGCAGACAGGCCTTCCCCAGCTCCAGCCTGCTATCCCTTTGGTGTCCGTGAATTCCTACACCAGCCTGACTCAGTCCTCCATGTCCCAGACCTGCTCACCTGTCTCTTCCTGGAGTGAGAGAAGAGACCTACAGCCTTCTCATCAGAAACTAGTGTCCCTCTCCCCACTCTCCATCCCAGGTACACTGAGTCCCAACGAGCCAGGGACAGCGACAGAGTTTGGCACTCATGATCTTCTGTTTTCAATGAGGCTTCCTTCCAAGAAGGGTTTAGTATTGGGGTGTTTTAGTTGTTGCCCCTACATGCATGACCACCTGTTTGTTTTTTTGTTTGTTTGGTTTTTTTTTGAGGTTTAAGAGGACATTTTAGCCTCATAGACAAAGCTTTTGGAGGACCACGTGGGCCCACGGTCAATTAATAAGAGTGAATGAACAGATGACTTTCCATCCCCTGGAGTTATGGTCTCTTTTGGGTCAGTGGAGTCAGGAAACAAAAGACAGATGAGACCCTGATGCCCATATAATGGGAGGTGATTTGATGTTACAAGTCAGATTCACAAAAATTAGTGTTGGTAAAAGTATGTTGCAGGCCCAGTCCCATCACCACCAAGGACACCGACACCTGTAATAAAGAATCAGTTCTCCAGGGCCAGCTGAGTGGCTCCGTTGGTTAAGAGCTCACTGAAGAGTGCGAGCGCTGAGCAACAGGGTCGCCGGTTCGATTCCTGGCCCGAGCTGAGCTGCTGCTGAGCTGCCAACAGGTGGCAGGATGGCTCAGCTAAAGAAAAAAAAAAGAAAAAAGAATCAGTTCTTCAGGTGAAGCTTTACCCTTTCACAGCTGGATCCCAAGGCTGTGGGGAGCATTGGAGTGCTGTCAGAAGCAGGAGGTGGGAGGAGTCTGAGCATCAGCTCTGTCAATCATGCCGGCTGTTTGTCCTTGGGTCACATCAAACAAGCTTTCCTTCTCCATTTGGGCCCAAACAGTCAGAGGCTCCTAGACCTGGGGGGATGCATTTAGGACCCTCTGTCCGCAGCAGGGTTCCTCCAGTGGCCTGGCACCAGGGACACCACTCAGAACTCTGTGACTCCCCCAGGACCAGAGATAAAGTGGACAAAAGCGCACCCATTTTGTGATGAAAGGATATAAGATGTTACATGGCAATAGCTGTTCATTCAGACTCTATAAAGTAAAATCCATACAAGATTAGGGACAGGAAACCTCCACTGGGAGGAGACAAGCTGAAGGCCAGTAGTACAGCTGGTTGCAAAGTGGGACAT